GCTCCCTAGGATTTTCAAAACGGGGGGCCTAAATAAGGTCAGGGTCCCCATCCAGGGCTGGTTTGAGCAGCTCACACGAGCCCTGCCCTCTCCATGCACAAGGCAAGTGTCTCTGATTGCTTGAATCTTGCTTGCCCCTCACCCAAACCATGCTCCCCCCTCCTCCCTGAAGCCTGACATCACCACTCCACCCGCCCCTCACATGTTTATCCACACCCCAGTTTTTTCACACAAGTGGGCACTGGTCCTGTTTGCTCAAGAAAATCTTACAGCCCTTTCTCTAATTTCTATGCCTGTTTGCTTGCTTGCAGGGTAATTGTGTGCTGCCTTCCCCCCTCCTGTTTCAATCCTCTGGCCTTGCTCTCTGGGCTTCCCTGTCACTCCATGAACATACAGCATCAGTAAGCGTCTGTGGAATATCTCTCACTGGCATAGTCACACTATAAGAGTCATGTGAGCTGCCTCTCCCATCAGAGTGTGAGAAACGCCATCCTAGGATACTCCCAGGCCTCAGGTTACTCAGAAGCTCATGTTACTGGCACGCTTGGATGATGCACAGGAAACGAAGGGACACACAATTCACTCCATCGGTCAACTTGAGGGGAATGATTCCACTGAGAGGGGCTGGCTGGGGTTTCCTCGACTTTGACCTACAATCACAAAATAGGCCTTCCCACTAACTTATCTCACATGCCCTGCACAGTTGAAACGCTGTTCAGCTTGGCACCAGTCCTCCTGCATGGTGCTGCAGGATTTCCCTGTCTCCTTTTGGGGCTCTTAGACACTAGTTGCCTGCAACTGTAAAAGCAAACGAATTTGTTTTCTTTTCTTATCTGCGAGCTCCATGAGCATTCAGGAGCCCTCCTTATAATAGTCAATGTGACAAGAAGTGAGGAAGGAGGTGTGAGCCTCACCTCAGAGTCTTTGGGTTCTGTGTCACAGTGTCAAGAACGTTACCAGGAAAGACAGTAGAGGAAGGTTATTCCCACAACTTTAGTCCTCAAAGGCTCCACACTAAAACAAGGATCCTACAGCCAGTTGAACAAATTGCTTCATTCATACCCTGGGAGGTGTGGAGCAGAGCTGCAGAAATGCTGTGGCCCTTTGGCGATATCAGACGGGGGTGCCCTCTCCAAGCATAACACTACATGAAGAGAGTTGTAAAGGGATAATTAAACAAAGAGCGGGGCTCAGTTTTCCACCTATTGTGAAAAACTATTGCTCCTGCCACCCCTGTGTTGAAAAAGAACACATCCCATGACTAGGAGCGCTGAGAACAGCACGAACACTGCAGGGCATTGTTTTTCACCCTCAGGGACAGAGTTTTCCATTCCCAAACCGGACTTTCTGCTGCAGTGATGCAAAAGCCTGCTTCTGATCTCTGCTGTAAATCAAGCCTGCCTCCACTGAAGTCACTGTGGTAACAGGAGCATAAACTGGAGTAAATGACCTCAGAATCAAGTCCCCTGACCACACATGGAGTCAAATATACTCTCCCACTTGCTGCCTCAGTGTCTCTCTCTGCTAGATCAAACAGTGCCCTTTTTCTGATGTTCCCCTGTGGCAGACGTTGGTGACTTATTTTCAGACTCACAGGACCGTGTATATTTTGAATGGGTAATGCCACTATGGAATACATTACTCTGAGGAACACTCAATTTAATGGCAGCCAGCATGTGACTGTGTACAAGTGGGAAAGAAGATGCCAAGATGGATAAGGATGGGCTGAGTGCCTGGAGTCAGGGGCATGTGAGGACTGACTAGAGAGGAGTCGCAGTATGATGCGGTGGACCAAATGCCACAACACAGCATTGATCTAGTTGCCCTCTTAAAATCCCTTCTAGTCCTAAATTTCAATGATTCTATCAAGCTGATGACTCCTCTAATCTTATAACTAATACAGTAGTCTCACTGTCTTCATTATTACATCTTGGTCTTTTTAAAATTTGTTAGAAGATTATGCAATAGTTAAAATTAAAGAGACACTGTTATCTAGTTATATTTTACTTAAACAGAGCCATATTTCGGGTTGGCTTTTTAATAAAGTCTTTAATATTAAATGAACTATTTTGACTATTTAAAAAAAATTCACTTCAGTATTTTTTTTTACTTGTCTCAGTGGACACTGGTATTGTTGACATTGCCATGAGCATTTTAAGGAACACAGTTATTGGCATAAAAATGCCAGTAGAGTGAGCAATGTCTAGATTGTAAGTTCTTTAGGGGAAGGACCATTTTTTTGTTTTATGATTGCGCAGCACCTAGCACAGAGGGGGCCCTAGTGCACAAGTGTGATTTCTAGGTGCTACCTCAGTACTAACAATAAATAAGCTATCTCTGCTGTGTGAATTGTCACTCTTACAGCATCTGCAGTTCAATGCGATGTAACGGTGCGCTGTGCTCAGCTTATTTTTCCACATGAACCGGTTTTCTAATTGTATTAACGAATCATTTTGATGATTCCAGAATTTGGTTCCTTTTAATTCCTGATGCAAATGTGATCCCCACCCCCGTTGCTTACTGTTTTTGATGTGTATGTGTGAAAGGGCAAAAGGAATTTCACTGACGAAGCAACAGTAAAACAGGAAATTTAAATAGAACCTGCCCATGTATCTACCTACAAATTTAGCTATCTAAAACTGAATCTAAATTCACAATAGATGCAATCAGAGTTGTAATGCTTCATCAGTGCCACTCCACTCATGCCAACAAAGGTAGAGAGTATCACTGTTATTACTATCAGCTGCAATGGAGCAGCACACAGACGCTCCGGTTGAAATCAAGACCCATTATGCTAGGCACCATATAAACACAGAGTAAAATAATTCCCTTCCCAAGAGCTGGCCATCTAAATAGATAACATACAAAATTATCACCCCTCCCATGTAAGATAAGAAACGAGATACAGACATTAAATTACTTACTCAAAACTACAGCTGAAGTCTTGGTGGACCTAAACTCAGGTCTTCTAGGGTACATCTACACAACCGCGTTATTTCAAAATAACTGATATTATTCCATTACATAGCCATTATTTTGAAATTATATAGTCATTATTTTGAAATAATATCAAGCTGGAGGATTTGAAGAATCTCAAGCATTGTTACAGGCTGGGGATCGAATGGCTAAGTAGCAGTTTTGCAGAAAAGGACCTGGGGATTACAGTGGATGAGAAGCTGGATATGAGTCAACAGTGTGCCCTTGTAGCCAAGAAGGCTAAAGCATATTAGGATGCATTAGGAGGAGCATTGCCAGCAGATCTAGAGAAGTGATTATTCCCCTTTATTCGGCTCTGGTGAGACCACATCTGGGCTGTGTCTAGACTGGCCAGTTTTTCCGGAAAATCAGCCGCTTTTCCGGAAAAACTTGCCAGCTGTCTACACTGGCTGCTTGAATTTCCGCAAAAGCACTGACTTCCTACTGTAAGAAATCAGTGCTTTTTGTGGAAATACTATGCTGCTCCCGTTCGGGCAAAAGTCCCTTTTGCACAAAACTTTTGCGCAAAAGGGCCCGTGTAGACAGCTCAGATTTGTTTTCCGCAAAAAAGCCCCGATCGCGAAAATGACAATCAGGGCTTTTTTGCAGAAAAGCGCGTCTAGATTGGCACGGACGCTTTTCCGCAAAAAGTGCTTTTGCAGAAAAGCATCCATGCCAATCTAGACGCTCTGTTCCGAAAATGCTTTTAACGGAAAACTTTTCCGTTAAAAGCATTTCTGGAAAATCATGCCAGTCTAGACGTAGCCCTGTAGTATTGTGTCCAGTTCTGGGCCCCCCACTATAGAAAGGATGTGGATGCACTGGAGAGGGTCTAGGGAGGGTGACCATAATGACTGGGGGACTGGAGCGCATGATCTATGAGGAGAGACTGAGGGATTTGGGTTTGTTTAGTCTGCAGAAGAGAAGAGTGAGGGGGGATTTGATAGCAGCCTTCAACTTCCTGAAGGGAGGTTCCAAAGAGGATGGAGACAGGCTGTTCACAGTAGTGAGGGATGGCAGAACAAGGGGCAATGGGCTCAAGGTACAGCGGGGGAGGTCTAGGTTGGATATTAGGAAAAACTATTTCACTAGGAGGGTGGTGAAGCACTGGAATGGGTTACCTAGGGAAGTAGTGGAGTCTCCATCCCTACAGGTTTTTAAATCTCGGCTTGACATAGTCTTGGCTGGATTGATTTAGTTGGGATTGGTCCTGCCTTGGGCAGGTGGCTGGACTTGATGATCTTCTGAGGTCTCTTCCAGCTCTATGATTCTATGACTTCTTACTCCAACTCATGGTAACCCTCATTTCAAGAGGCGTAAGGGAAGTCGCAGGAAGAGTGTTCTTCCTTACACTTCCTGCTGTGTGGACAGTGCCAAAAGCCAAGTTAAGCTATTTCAACTTAAACTAAGCAGTTGATGTAGCTGAAGTTGCATAGCTTAATTCGACTTTAGCCCTGCTGTTTAAACATACCTCCAGAGTCAAGTCCAGGACCTTTCCAACAAAACTAATAACATTAGTTAGCTATAATCAAAGCAAAGAGCTTGGAAATAAAGCCATCCCTGTAGAAAATTTGCTGATTTGTTTCCGTGTGTATAAGAAAAGATCTCTCAGGGCATGTCTAAACTGCCCTGCACGTAAGACTACAGATGTAAGTGTTATGACCAACTATCTTTTTTGTTCTTGCCCACAGAGTCAACACTTTAGCAACACGCACCAAACTTCTGTGTCGTACTCATACCCCTGTAGTCCACACTGCAGGACAGAGTAGATATGCCCTCAGATGCAGCATTAGTATAACTGAAGGAGTTTAAGTACAAAAGTGCATTGAGCAAAATATTAGCTTAGTATACATAACCTCACCTGGCTACGTGTATTGATTTGAATATAAAATATATTTATATGTAGTTCTTTTCTGAAGTGTTAGCTCCTTACCCTGCAACAATGTTTCA